TAACAAAACTCATTTCCGCCAAAAAAATAACAGAATTTTGATTTTTTGACAGCGATACGACAGTGAGAGACTGCATCAAAAGCTTCGAATTTCGGGAGGTCCACAAGTTCGTGTCCCATCGATTCCATCATGATCTCGAAATACTGAATTGGGAGAACGTGAAACAAAGATTCGAATTGGGTAGAAACGCTGAAGGAATAACATATGTCTTCAGAAGAAATGCTAGAAACCCACACGAACACAATTCTTACGGTTCATTTTAGAACGCTTTCAGCTGTGACATTTCATAATGACTCTTCTGACCGAAAATCACCTAAAGAGTTCCCTTCAGAATAATTCAATAAAAAGTTAGGATTCAAATAGCAAATGTATCAATTAAATATCAACGAATCATCATTCCAATTATTAAAGAAAACGGTGAGTCAAACGGCAGAATACTAGTTTCTTCCAATGCCTACGACACAAAACGTAACTCGGATACAATATTTCTATATAAACGATGTATAAGCACCTCCTTTTATAAATCCAAATATAGACTTTCAAAAGACAAAACGAAGTTTCTAAAACAATGTAAGAGTTTATTAAAGAAACAAAATCACTGTTAATAAACAAATCGAATGATCAAAAGGAAAATAAATACTGGGGTGCCCGATTCTGAAATACGGCAGTAAGAATATCCATTACGGAAGACGAGAAAGTCTTTACAAATTACTTTCCACGTCATCCTTTAAAAAAACACGATTTTATACTATGATTAAGCAAGGCGTTTGACGTCACTTCACAAGCTTCTATTTAACAGGCCATTTTATCACAATAAAAATTAGGGCAAATGACTAACGATTTAATCTTCCCGTGAGAACTCACGACGCTGAATTTAGCCTCTCTGCAAACCAAAACCGCGTCAACCACAGCAACGTCATCAACATCTTATCACAAACCTCGGAAGTGCCTTTTCCGCCGGAACATTGTATTAGTGTGTGTGTGTGTGTGTGTGTGTGTGTGTGTGTGTGTGTGAGAGAGAGAGAGAGAGAGAGAGAGAGAGAGAGAGAGAGAGAGAGAGAGAGAGAGGAGAAGAAGAAGAAGAAGAAGAAGAAGAAGAAGAAGACGAAGAAGAAGAAAAAGAAGGTTTTCGTTACTTTTACATGAAATGTGATATCCACGTAATAATGATTATTCCAAGCACCCACAATATAAAAGCAATTAGGTCGTCATACCTCAACTTCTGGGCGAATTAAGATGAGAGGCCCCTTAACAAGTTAATCGTTGTCAGTTACAATAATATAATGCTACCCACTCTATCATCTAATCTCTTTCGTGTCATCTGGTAAAAATATACTTAATTACAAATTTTTCACGACAAAAGAACCTCGAAAATCCGAAATTTCGGATAATCGGAACAAAATTCGGGTTGGGGAAAACATAAACCAAATGAATAAAATATTATTTTGTAATGTAAAGAAAGGACTTCATAATTACAGAAGAACTGAACAATAATTATTGAAACACAAGTTATCGAAATGAATGGTTTATTGCACTGGTAACTACGGGGTATATCACATGTTTATGTAGTACTCGTTTTTAAATAGAGAAACTTGCAAAATCGGTAATCTTGTTTTGCCCGTAAGGAACTTAATCTGAGTGATGATGTGATGATGCGATCGCTACGCTACGTTGCATTGTCTGGTAATCATATATATGCATTTGTACATGAACTGTACATTTTTTCGGGTAATCCGAACATTTCCGAATCCGAACAGACCACACCCCCAATTAGTTCGGATTACCGGGCTTCTACTGTATTTCCCTTACGGTCTGCAGTCGACTGAATTAAGACAATCAACGTGTATCGTAGGGATTTATCCCTCGCATCGCTTTCCCGAAAGCGCTTGCGTCACAGTCGTGGCACGACTCCCTCTCGAAAAGGAAGCGTCCGGGCGCGGCGCGGGACGAGGTCGCAGTGGGCGGGAGGGGCGATGTCGCCCGCGGGCGCGGCTCCGCCCGTGGGCGTGCGTGGAGGACGATCGTCGCAACGCTTCAGGTGTGGGGAAACGCATTAGTCGCTGCTGCGGTGGGCGGCGCGCACTCTCCAACTCTTTTTTTTTTTTTTTTCGCCTCGCGATTGTCGAGGACGTTTCGATTTTAAATTGTTGTATGATAGACAAAGGGCGCCACCTTGCGAGCGCGCCAGAAACTACAGCGACGGTCTGACTGCAGGCCGCTCGACGGACAGACGCTGGACACTGAACACACGGTGACAAACATGCTACGCTCGTCTCCTGCTCATACTGTGTACCCCAAAGTTAAATAATAAACACCATTCCAATTGAGCATCGTTTGTTGTTATTCATACAACAAAATACACGTAATATGGTTTCCCACATCGGATCTAGATATTGAGTTTGGGGAGAAGATCATGGACTTGACGTAATTAAATGAAATAATATTTTGTGTTCTTGTAAAGCGCAAAACCTTAAGAATAGTTACGAAAACGACGTTCTATGTATGACGAGCACTAATTCATTAACGTAAGTACATATTACGACTCCTAGTCGCAAACACCTAAATTAAATTTACGTGATGAAAGTTATATGACCTAGTGACGGTCTCTTTCCCCGAATCGTACCTTGCTCTTCGTAGACTCTACCTACTAAGACTATTACCTACTTTTAAGTCTAACGAGCTAAAATGCATATTAGGTATTGTCAAGTATGCACAATGAAAACACGATATCTCTATTTCTAGAATATCTTTTTGTTTTTTCCACGTCCCTCATCTTCCAGACATGTAGAGATTGAAATTCTCAAAGGCATTGAGATACTAACTGGTTCTTATTGAGAAAATGAGCATTAACTTACTTTTTTACGAATTCATTTTTGAACAGTGAACTCTACTTACACTGTTACCTAACCAATTTCCATCAATTCCAATGGGAAAGAGTCTGCCAATACACACGGTAGTTTAAGTGGAATGCGGAGTATCTACACACCACGAATGTTACGCTTAATGTGTTTTTAAAAGACGAGATATTCCGGTACATTTTTTTTGAAAGCCACTACGGTGACTGAACGTGACCGCCCCTAGCCCAGGCGTCAATTATCTTCAAATAGTTTCGGTAACTCAACCCTCCAATATTTTGCCTTCCATGAATGAGATCACGCCAAAGACCATGAGATTCAAAGATCATATCAAGATTCATGTATATCAAGGTCCCACATACACCATTTATTTACAATCATGCATTCCTCTGAGGAATGAAAGTAAGAAAGTTTCCGAAGTAATACGTTTTGGTTTACGCCCAAGCAAGAGCTTCATACAATATCAAAGAGTTTTGTAAGGAAATGTGCCACAGATGAAAATCAGCCCATGGAGAAGTCATACACTTAAGAATATGAATAATTTACACTTAGTTGTCATGCTCCTTCATGCACAGGAGCAGAAAAATTATATGATAATAATCTCACTGAATTATTATTAATTATATTATTATTTTACTAGGCCACACATGTAAGTCATAGTTATTGGAACCATCTTCTCAACTTTTTCTTCTTCTTTATGTGTGTATTTTAACACAACAGTTTGCATCAAGTTTCCCTTCACAAAAATGACAACAGATGCAATCATGCATTCAACACAGAAAGACATTCAGAGAAACAACACATCAACAACACTGAAAAGAGGAACTTATTCCGATTTTGTGTATTCACTAGAATAAAAAGTCACAAGAGTGCACCATGACATCATTGCAATAAACACTATTCTCTATAAATCAGTACATATTTTGCTAGCAGGATATCACCATTCTCAACATTCATTATTATATGAGCAACATTAAACAACATTTTTTATTTAAACCCTTTCTTTACTGTTTCTAAACATTAAAAATTCTAAAACAATTATTACATCAAAATTATTTTGTATTGCTAATTAACCAAGACAGAGTTTTGCTATCATAATAAACATCGAGCACAACTTAGTATTTTCGTGAATTTTATTTTATTTTGATCATTTAATATTTTGTAGATCTTTTCAATTAAAATAGTCAGAGTGATTACTAGTGATTTACACACGAATATGAAAATATATATTATATCCTAAAGGAAACTATGTCCCCATTCGAAACAAAAGAGTGTATTCAATTTAGTTTTCGAAAAGTTAAATTATTTTGTTGATTCGTGTTATTTTTTATTTCATATTGTTTACACATGTCTTAATAAAATACAAAATTTTTTAAATGGTATTTTAAAATTCATAATTAAAATATTTCAATTAGGTAAAATAAACTTTGCAGGCAATTGTCAAAAACTATTTTCAAAATTGTAAAATATTACATTGTTTTGCAAAATGGCAAAAATCCTAACAAATATATTCAATGCTTAAATTCTCATAACTTTTTACATTCGACTAATATTACTTATGAACACACAATTATTATAATCGAATGTAATAATTCACTAAGTGAAATTCGAAAAATATAATGAAGAAATCTCTCAAACACTTAAATTCTTAAGTGACCCTAGTTACTGAGAGAATTCAGACGAGAATCTCGAACGCCTGTGCCATCTAGCGGCAAACGACAAAACTGCATTGAGAGTTTCAACCACGCTGCTCCAAGCGGCAATATTGAGAACTAACAACGCCTTACCAAGTGTTTAGTCTTCCCCATGCTTTTTGGAAAGATACAAACAACCATGAATCGACAAAAAGAATAAACAAATACAACTCTTCCTGTAAATCACAACAAAAAACGTAACACATATTTGCAAGCAATACAACAATCAAAATAGCATTGTAAAAACATCTGAATTAATAAATACAATTAGCCACATACTTCACAACATTTTTAACTACATTTAATATTATCAATATAATGTATATTTTCATTTATTAAGACAGATTCAGTTAATTTATTTAAATTAAGGACACACAACAAACTTGCTTATATGCAAACACTACACATGACAATCATGTCAGAATTCCTACACACAACTTGGCAAATTAGCCTACTCCAGCAATTTTTTTTGTTTCTACAAGTTAACTATAAGTTTTAAAAAAGATTGCACAGCTGATAAATGGAACACAGGTATAAAATAAATTTCTGACAGAAAATGCATAAGCACATCATAATGCATGCATTCAGAAAAAAATAACTCTTATACACAGAATTTGCGAGTTGTTTAAAATTGGAAGAACGTGGATTTTGATGAGGATTACAAAAATACTCTGGAGAGTTCTTTGCGTGGAAATGAAAGAAGAAAGCTTAAAATACGGAAGCAATATGTTTCCATTTCATTGTTTACATTGGAAACAAGACAATTACATAAATGCCTTACCTTGCGTCCTTGCTGTTGCAAGAAGTAATTTCGCAGCAAAATGAGCAAAGCACAAAAACAATGAATGTATTCTCATTATACAACCCTCACAGAAAGTAACTGATCAATTTTAGAAGATTCATTAAGAAACTACATTTTGCGATTTATTTCAAATCAAAGTCACGTCCAATATTGAAAACACAAAATTAACTAATGGAAAACAATTCATGTAAACGAACTCAAATTAAAACTTTTGACATATTATTTAATGTTCATATTGAACCGAGATATTAAAAAAAGTGAAAATTTATATAATAATAAGAACTATCATTACCAGTATATTTGTTATTTTTTCTGCTATAACAGGCAAAATGTAGCAGAGTATAAAAACTGCAACCACACAAAGAACTGTCCATGAACTTTAGGTGAGGAACTCTTGAACTTAACTAATCTAGCAGTTGAAGTGCATTAAGTAATAAGTAATAAGCAAGTTCATTAAAATAACCTACCAATTTGATCATGTCTGTTCTTTGCATAGTTACTGTGCAAAAATTAAGTGCACTGAAGCACGTTAGTGCATTTGTGCAAGTTCTGTGCTTTGAATTTTCCTCAACAAATTATTTAATGAATTCTAGAATGAAATGCAAAAACACAATGTGAATAAAAATGAAGAAAAAGAAAAAAAAAATTATTATCTTTATTTTTGAAAAATTTGTTGAGACATTACAAATATGACATGGTAAACAGTGTTTACTTTTGTAAAACAGTTCGAAATTGAATGAAATTTCTTTTTATCTTTTATCAGTAATGAAATTCAATAAACGTTAAAACTATAAAGATACATTTTTTGACAAAATGTATTGAGTAACAAAATAGTTTATTGATGCAAAGAGTTTGTCAAACACTGAATGCCAATCGCCGTAAATGTAATAAGCCTGTGTGTTAAAGCCAAAGCACAAGGTGAGAAAGTGAACAGACATTTTAAAAGAACCTAAATAAATCCAAAAATGTCTTGAATAAATGATGCTTAGGTGCACTTACCTGGAAGTGCAAGATGATTGTCCAGATGAGACCAAGAATAAGTTTTGGGTTGCCATCGACGATGTCTTCTGCACGAATGTTTACGAGTTTAATCTGAAAAATAATAAATAAGAAATTAAATAAATAATTCAAGTCATTTTACTATTGAATATTCAAAACAAAATAATGTACACAAACATTTTTTAAGATTTACAATACACACACCTTCAACAATGAAATGTAAAAATTTGATATTTGAAAATGTTATATTTTTTCAGTTGTGGATTCAATTTCAGTATTAACAGGTGTGTAGAATGAAATGACAAAACTAAATTACTTATGAATCAAGTACATTGATATTAATGATTCAACAACATCTGAATTGATTTCAACTTTTCAGTAATACTAAAGCATTGTAATAACATTTCTGTTTGTTATTCATACAACTTCCACGGAACCCTACGTTTGCATCAAATTGATCATTCATAATATTATCTTCATATGCTTTCATTGACTTTGTGAATAGAGGAAAAATAAACAACAAAATAGTAAATATGAAGTATAATAATCATAGAAACTTATATTTATTTGTTGAAATCTTCTGAAATTAATAGCACTTGACTACAAACATACATTTTAAGTAGAAGTAAATAAGAATGTTACACTGTGTCCAGTCATATAATGTTATTACGAGGGCTAGGGTTTCAATATACAAACATTTTTATTTATTATTTAGAGACAATCAATATTTTATATGTGTCTATGATTTAGGCTTTTGGAATTAATTAGAAACAATTGATTAATCCTATTTGTCCATATTTGCAAGTACAGGACTTTTGCATATTACAAAATTGTATTTGAATCTTGTTCCACATTATTTTTTCAGAAATATTCTGGCAAGATTGTTGTGCTACTTCTAAGAGCTGTATTGAGTTTTAAAGTGTATTTGGATTTTTCCTCCACAGGTCAATGTGAAGTTGAAGATGGTCTCGTGATGTGGAGCAAAGTGTTTGCCAAAGCAAAGTCACATTAAGAGACAAAAGGACCAGTTTCAAATATGAACATAAAACAGTACTTTGTTACTTTTTCATAAATTACCAATTTTCAGAAAATGATTAAGTTTTCTTACTTCCAACAAAATTTCAAATCTACTGTTGTACAAGAAATGAATGACAAATGAAATTTTCATCTATTACTAATATTAATACTAAATAATTTCTTTGATCTGCTAACGATGTAGGAACTTAAACATTAACTGATAACAACATCGTTTTCACTATTTATTTTTATATTTTCATTCAATTTTGTTATGTATTTCACTGTAAGTTTATTTTGAACATTTTTAGTTTGTATTCTTGCTCTGGCAAACACTTTGCTCCACATCATGAGACCATCTTCAACTTCACATTGACCTGTGGAGTAAATACACATAATTCCACATAATTTCAAGCTTAGTTTTACATACTTAACTCGCACCGAGTAAAGCAAAATAAGTGTAATACCATTCAATTACAGTTTATTTAAAAGCAACCGTCATTTAATAACTGAGTCATTAATTTTTTAAATACATTTTGATTAATGTATGTATATGTATATTCATCAGTTTTGGGAACATAATACTGGACATAAATGACAGAATATACGGTAACCACAATTTAATACCAAAGAGTCCTTTACGCCATGTTGAAACTATAAACATTCTGAGTACACTGTTTCTTTTTGTACATCACAATTATACTTTGATTTAAACATAAGAGTCAGTTAACGTTTAATCAGCTGTTACAGTGTCAGCCAATCGGGAACTTAAATATCAGATGCAGAAAAGAGGATCCATGACTTGCTTAGGGGAGCAAATGCCATTGTCTATTCTAAGACAGCAATATGTCAAATGACTGAATGAGAAGGCATTGTTCTTGACACCTATCCTGACATTGATCCTTTGCCCTTACAGTAAATCTTTGTAAGAAAACATTTCCCTCATTCTAAAATTACCATAACAATGTCATCCCCCAAACGATAATTCTACTCCTGATATCCACACTTCAGAATTTGATAATTATGGCACTTCAGCAATGTGAAATGTATTATAAAATAAGAAATTATGAAATAGGTGCATTGGAGAATGTGTTATGTACATGTTGGTAAAATAATCAGTGAGCATTACCTTTCGGTAACGAAGGAAGTCCAAAGCAATCTGCACGTTCTGCAGCATGTGAAATCGCATCCGCCCACGCTCTCGAGGCTGTAACAGAACAACAAACATTCATTAGTCAGATTGACAGAGAAATACAATTGCATTGAAATCAATTTATGTTTTCTAAATTCCTAAATATCACTCACAATTACTTTCAATTATATTGAAATATTTACAAGGGCTTTCAGTTACAGTAATATAAATTCAGCCTTTCAGATGTCTAATATAATATGATGTCCTAGAAAAGACTGTTAATAATATTTATATAAAATATATAATAAAAATATCTAATTTTTTTTATTTAGTTAAAACAGTTCTCCATATTTTCAGCAACACATTTTCAGCAGAGTTGCTAGTTACTATACTTTCTATACCTTATACCTTCTGATTTCCTGCTTATTCAAGCCTTTACTTAGATTGCAGATGTCACTGGTTCTGATTCAAAATATTGGCAAAATTTTGCAAAATATATGTATATTAGATAAAATAAAAACATGAAACTTCTTGGATTGATTGTCCTGTCCCAATACAAATTAAGTGTTTTGTTGAACCTTGCATCCAAATTAAATAAATACACTTTTGAAAGTGTTGATTACTCTAGTAGATTGAAATTTCAGAATATAATTCTAATAAATACACATCACAGGTATTGTCTTATTTTGCTACCCCCTCTTTTTTATTATTCGTTTGTAACCTAATGTCTTATACTGTTCTTTTACTAGCTTCCCGCTTTTCTATTTTTGCTACCTTGGCCACTGTTTTTGTTGTTTTTTTATGTTGCGGCTGGGCGAGGCAATGCGGGCTGGAGCGGGTTGGGAACAAGCGGATACAAACGTGGCCGGCAGAATCTTCAAGGTGCGTTTGGGGGCGGAGCGAGGTGGGGAGGGTGTAGCGGTGACTGACGAGGCGGGGCGGGGCGGTGTGGGGTGGAGGGAGCGGATCGAGTGGGGTGGCGGGCGGCGGGGCTGGTTGGCAAGAGTGCGCGAGTGTGTTGCGGAGCGGGGAGGGGGGGGAGGCGACGATACTGTGCGTTCCCCCTGGCGGTCGAATCCGTGGATGGGAAGGCGAAAAAAGGCGAGGCGTACATGTTTTTCAGATGTTACTTCACATATTACACTACTTCGTTTTACTCTCTTCACTTTCTCTTTCCTCATCAATATTCTTCATTATTTGGCTCACCCGACTACTCTGATATTATCTTATTTACCGCTAGCTTTTTCGTATTTCCAACGAACATGTAGCTCTGCACTAAGTTTCTTTTTTTTATCTTAATATTAATCTGCAATTTGTGGAAACATTTCTGTCAATGGATTCGGGCGGTTGACGCCGACGCATCTCTTTCAAATTTTGCGTCAATACTAACACAACTGCAGTTTTACGGGGTCCTTGCGAAAAAACTTAATTTCGAAAATATCTTTCCAAGAAGCAAAGCCGCCTCTCTCATCTCACCGCAGAAATCTGACCGGTCACACAAACCCACACACCCTGAGACCACGTGTCTCCGGCAGCGCGGGCTGCGAGTGGCTCGTGGCCGCCGGCAGCTGTGCGCATTTCCGGCTCGCCGCCAGAGCGCATTTGCATGCAAACGGCCGCCCGCTTCCGCCCCCCGCCCCCGCCACGCCGCGCTCCCGATTATCCTTCTCTCCGCGCCAACCCTCGGCGAATCGTCCTACCGCTACGCGTGGTTTATCGCGTACGCGGATTAAGCATCCTCAAAATTTTACAAACTGCATAGCAAATAGCTTAAAAACTAGAAAACTTGCTATTAGTTCCATAAATATGTAGTATTATTACATCAATCATTATTAGTTGTTATATATATTATTATTATTATTATTATTATTATTATTATTATTCAAAAGTAATAGTTCTTCAAATTCATTCTAATTACACATACTTCACAGTGTGTCCGTATTACTAGTGAATCCCGTAGTTTGGACAAGCATTCGATCCTATTTCTTGTAATCTGTTTTCATCACGAGTTTCCATCACGTAGTTATTTACTGGAGATAGAGCATTGTGGAATTTTGGCTATGGCAGCGAAGTCTTTCCTCAAACCGGTTCAATGGGTAATCGGTTAACAATCGAAAAACTGTTGTAAGATAGATGTTCACGAGGTATTAAATAACAGAACAACGATTCATGTTTACTAAGAAAAATTGATTGGTTCGTCCTAGATACCACTCCAAACCAATATAAAATAAGTAATTTATTACTTCTTTTATTCATTTAATAAGAAATACATTCACACTCACGCCGTCTTTCATTTTCATCAGTTATTTTTTCCGATTTTGTGGCATTAATTAACATGTCTAGAAGTAATTACTTTTCTCTTGAGTTTCGTGGAGTAGGGTTTTCGTTATTGGGACAAACATATTTCGCGAAAGACTTTCTTCAAACCAACTTGTTGGTTAATCCGATCTGCATTCTTCTTCTTTTAATACATCAGTACAGTGAAAGCCAAATTGTTTCCATACATTTTCATTGTAACATATTGTGACATTACATGTTCTTAATAATTGTTCTTCTTTATTATCACTGCCACCCTCCAGAAATAATTATAGTTATGTGATATCTCACTACGATTTAATTCAATGTAATACAGTGCGCAGTGCAGATCTTAATATTTCCTTGATACTTTATGGCATTACGCTCGTAAGAAGTCTTCATGATTACGTTTTATTTTCATCGTAAGGTTAAAGTTCAGCAGATTGAAACTAAAATGATATCATTCCACCCAGGCAAAATTTGAGAGGAAAGTCACGTAGATTTAAACGCATAACTATAAAGTACACATTGTGCATAGACAGCATTGAAATAAATCAAAAGTAGCATTCGGAAGATCTAAAATAAATTGTCTCGATCAAAGATAAAAATTTCCAAGAGCTTAAAGTCAAATTACATGGATGCTAACTAATGACACAAATCTGCTTACTGTCAGCTTCTTAGGCACATAAAACGGATTTCTAACAGATGCAATCTAAGCATAAAGGACTAAACGTTTTACAACTGATAGCGTAGATATCATTCAAATGCAAATCAGAAGTATTGTTAATCACCAATAAGTAAAACGTATGGATAATCTCAGTGCTGATTCACGCCCGATTTTCCACGAGTAGAAAGCAAGATCAACAAATAACGTTATTTATAATTATAACCTTCACATTAGTTCTCAGCTGCAAAAGCAGGATGTCTCGAACACGCTTCTATGAGCCATATGAAATACAAATTACAATGCTGGGCTAGAAATGCTTCATCACCAGGCGGCATTAAAGTGCCGGGTACGCTTCTATCAGCCCCGATCCTTTCTCGGCACGCACAATGTCACGAACAAAGACACCACGGGCGAACAACGCGTCGCACTCGCGTAGAACGTAAACGCCCCCAGAGATCGCACCGTCATTGCATTTCAACACAACGCGAGGCGACTGTTTCGCGATGTACAATAGCTTTACAGTGTGACATACTACCCCACTGCTCCGTAATGCAAATAATCCTTTCAAGATCGTACTTTCACCGAAATATAGTGACCTTACCTAATTCAATTCGGAGCTATTTGTAAAAAAAATGTATAAAAACAAAATGTGATTGTTAATTAACAAAAAAATGAGAAGCAAAATGTTTATATGAACTTTATTTTATAATAAAGAGTACAATTAAAAACATGAAATACGATTGCCTCCACATTAAAAAAACAGAACATTTTTATAAGGAATTTCGTCACGTGCACTTTACTTTCCTTCATAGCTTACAGAAATAAAGTTTTTGACGTTTGTTTCCCAACAAAGTCCAACCGGCCATAGGGATTCAAAGTTGCCAAAATTATTCTGTGAAAATCTCATGTTGCAAGTAATGAGTAAAAGATAGGTTGTAAAGCACCAAGCAAATTTCACTCGTCTAAAAACAAGTTCGTTTCTACAAAGGACGTTCTTTTGTGAAGAACCTTGAATTTACAATATAAATGACACAAAAACACATTCAATTCGCGGGTTAACTGAAACATTAATAATTTCCTGATATGTATACATTGTCACTTCGAAGTTTATTACAGAAGCATTTTCACCAAAAAGAAATAGATCGTTACAATACAATGAAGTCACAGAGAAAATGAAAAAAAAAAATAGATAACAGAATATTACATGAAAAAACTACACCTACAAGTAAAATCAAAAGTCTAGACCGCAGTTTCTTTCCTACTGAAATATATTTCCCGAATACTGTTTGGTCCATATTTTGAAGTTACACAAACTTAATGACACATTGCAAATGCGACACAACTAGAGTACCGCTAAGATAGTATTCTTTTAAAAATGCGTTAATACTCTAAGAAAAATTCATAAAAATAAAGAAGTTAATGCCTCAAAAGATCATCTCCCACAATATTTCGACGTGATCCAATCAGTAAAAACACTTCAGGTCAGATTTATCATGCAAGTCTTGCGCGAAAAACATTAAGACGAATGTAAACCTACCGCGCCCGAAAGAAACTTTCTACGCAACACACGTCATCCAAACATAGTTAAAGATCATCGGCTGTTCGCACGCGAAGCACAGCACACCCCCTCGCTCTTCCTCATCGTTCCGGCCCGCCCTCTTCGGCCACGCTTTCGCTCTCTCACGTAGGGTTGCCACCTTTCCTTGACCCACCTACGACGCAATTCCGGGTTTAAGAAATAATCTAACGCAGACATGCTAATAATAAAAATCTAAGGTTCAAAACCACTTAATAATTACGTACTATATTAGAGATTATTTAGGTCTGTGTTTGGTCGTTGTCACGGACAATAGACACAGTAGAGAGGGGAAGGGACACAGTTGCAGAGCAGGCAACGAGAGAAGACAAAAAGACAGAGCAGTGAGAAGTGCAGAGACCCTGAAAATGATCTAACCGCGTAATAAAACTTCTGAAATCTACAGTAATACAATACCACGTTTTGTAGCCTTACAATAAAATATTCTTAAAATGTCATATTGAAAACAATATAAAGAAATATACAAACTAGTATATTTTTTATATTTCCGGGAAATAAGATATATAATTAGTACGTTATTAGTGATGAGTAGAAAATCAGTCTTAAATATGTGTCTGACGACTTAATAGACTTTGCTTCTTCCCTTCACTACTATGTGTAACATAGGAAGGAGCGAGTTCACAACTGAGGGTTCGTAGCCACGAAGGTCTTAAGTTCGAATCCTGGCGGTGATGACATTTCCAAACACGCTAATTAGCTGGATTGCACAGTACGAGCCTGGATGAGAATTCTAGAGCACCTTGTTCCTCTATACATCTCAGTTCGAAACCCGACACTTTGAACAAGCAAAATCACTACTTATTGTTTTACAAAACGTACTTGGAAATTCGAGTTCTCTGATTATTGTAACTCAAATAGTTGGGCGAGAAATTCCAAACCTGACAATCAAGAAAGAACACGATTTTCCCATACGTTACGTAAAGTAAACAAAGCTATTTGAACGCCAATCGGTTGTCACAAAATTACGCAATATCTCAATATCAAACCCCTTCTGTATTAACAGCTCACAAACCTAAATTTCATCAGGCCTACAATTCGATTACACAGTGGCGATGCAAATCAGCCCCCTGAAAGGTCACGCCAAACGACGGTCGGTTCCAAACCGACAGCGCCCACGGGGCCAAACGAAACAAACGACTTTATTTCGTGCGAGGGCACTATTTAAATTAAAAACAAATTACTGGCCCAGTCCCTAAAGCACATGTTTGAATGGTCAATCGGTCGCGATGGACACGAGGAAACACGAGCTTACTTTTCTTTCCCTTTCGAAATTACCCCGACCGACTGTTGGAACGGCAGATCTCCGCAGCGGTTGACACGTGATTGTTCCGCGTTGATGCTGTCGTTTTCTTACCCTCGGGTGCCCATTCGTTAGGGGATCTGGAGCAACCTAGCGTTTACAACCTCTCCCGAAGGCGCACCTACTTTTACTTCCTCGCAATTACAGCCCACGGGGACGATGCGTGGCCTTCTCTCGAGGCGTCTGACGTTTTTATCGGCAGAAAAAGCGAACCGATCAAGAGGTATAATAGAAAACGCACACAGTAGTATTATACCTTCCGTTCCAATGTCGATTCATGAAGCAAAGTACATCAATGAACTTGTAAGGATGGAAAAATTAAAACTGATACACTCGTTGTTTGCAATATAAAGGTTTCACTATAATTTTGCAAGATATTTTTTTTATGTTGATTCATATTATTTTCAAAGGGCTTTGGAAGTACGTCGATAGATAGCAATATTTTTTATTAATTCAAGAGTATTGAAAACAATTTTTTGAACTCATTTCCTACGTGACTATCAAACACTCCTTCCTCACAGTCTCAATATGTGAGGAAGCGTCTAATTTGTGTAATTAGGAAAGTTGCACCACTAAATAAAATAATACACCTCTCAGCGAGAGGGAATATGACAGTGACAGTTGAATGACGTATCCTCGATACACCGACCCTGTATCCTCAACGACATCCCGCCGGGTCGAAGTAGGCAAGGTTCGGAGAGGTTCATTACTTCCTCGTCCTCTTCGAGCTGACAGACAGCAAGCCGCCCTTTCCGGTCCATTTCGGAGGAGCAGGAAGCGAAATGACACGCAGTGAGGACAACGAAGACTTATTTCAGCGACTGTACCCCAATTTCCCTCTGCGCCCCTGTGTCCCCATTTTCCCTTCTAAGTGCCTCACGGGTTGCGAAGAGGGTATTGAACGGAGAAGGTGCCCGTGGACTAAACGTCAAGGAAAACCACCACATATCACTTCTGTTGCTTAATACGAGTCAAGCAGGGGTGGTTATCATTTTACATCGAATTGACCTCTTCTCCGGAGATTTTGCTCTTCTCCCTCCAATTACTAGCACTCTTCGAATGGCAGATAAAGAGTGGCCTTTTTTCTAAACAAGAAATTCAATTACGAGCTGAATTTGTTTTTGCAGAAGTATCCGCTCATTGAATTCATTCATGAGGAATGTGTAGTTCGAATTCCAAACTCACAATAAACTTTATCAGCCAGGTCCCACAATTAATTAAATCTTCAGAAGATCACTGAATTAAATATTTAGGAGATTCAAACAGCAGCTACAGAAGCAGAGCCTTCTGGCGTCGGGTGGGGAGAGGAAGAGGGGAAGAGAAGGACAAGAGGGGGAGGGGTGGGTTGAAAGGCGCGGCGGTGCCTTTCAAGTCAGGACACCGGCTGCCGGCGCCCGGGGGCTGAATTCGGCGCCAGCTCCGGGCTGTCATTCCACTTCCCGCCGCCCGCCGCGCTGGCCTCGGCGAACAGCGGCGCTTCTCATCCAGCTAAAGCGTTAGTTAGATCAGTCCCTTAAGGGGGAAATACCTCTACCCCAACTCCCAGTTCAGGAAAAAAAAAACGTTTTGAATTTCCAGGCTTTTATTATAAGTCTATAAGACTGGTGGTTTAATAAGATTCAATCCAGCGCTTAACGCGATAATTGAATTCTATGCCGTTTCTAACTACTCCTATTTCAAGATCCCAGTGTATTTTACAAACGGGCAAAGGACATTTCACTGTTAAAATTTAGCAGATTTTTTTAAAGGACATATCCACTAAAAGGGCTGAGAGAAAAATGTTCAGAATGAAATAACTATATGGAATCACCCATTAAATCACTAAACAAAGAAATTTCATGAATACTCTTTCACAAATATCAAATTACTAATCTTGGAACCCGATTCCACTCGCCAGTTCCTCCTCAAAATTACTACAGTTTTCTAAAGGATGTCTCCGACTTTATTAAACCAACCATCACCATCACCGCAGACGGAGTGGAAACCTCGCAGGACATAAACTGTTGGTTCTGACACGGAGCCAGACCGCGGAGTAATTCACAGACGGAGCGCGCACGGGTCCCCTTCACTCCGGGAGCGACGGGGCGCGCTCGCTCCCCGCCCGAACCCGCGCTTCCGCTTTAATGCGGGCCACCGGAATCTCCGTTCCATAAACTTGGCCAACTCCGCCCGTCTCCTCCTCCGGCTGCGGCCGCCCCAGCGCGGGGCGGGGAAGGCTCCGACCTCCCGACGCACCAACAGGATCAACGATCATGCGCGAGTTCGCACCGCAAACTTCGGCCGTAGAAGAATCCTACATCTTGGATAAGCTCGTTCGAAGTCAGGATAAGAGAAAAAAGAAAAGTGTTCGAACTTTTTTTACACGCAGGAGGTAAAAAGGATGGGTAAAAAAAATAAGGAAAGTTGAAAAAAAATTTGGATGATCGCTGCTAAATGCATTTATTTCGGCATAGAAGCCAGGAGTTAGAGATTCAGAGATCAACATAATATTTTTCTAGCAAAAATACGAAATAATATCATTACAAAATCATCGCACAGAGAAGAGGGAGAAGAGAGTGAGAGAAGGGAAAGAGAGACTAAAGAAATATTTCTTAATTCCACAAATTGCCTCAATATGATTATATTTAATAATTTTCTTTATTATTATCTTAGTTATCAATATAACAATAAATTGTGTCCTAATTCAACCAACCTTATCCGTTAAACAATTAAAATCAGTGTGATAGCGGAGAGAGAAAATAAACGAAAAGGGAAAAATATGAGGAAGAAAAAGTTATGTGCGAGAAGGACACTGAGGGAGGGAAGAGAAAATGGGAAGAGATATAAGAGAAGAACTCAGGAACGGAGTCAAAGTCCGTAAAAACCTTTACGGATACTAAGGAACTAGTAGGACTTTAACTTGAAGGAAACTTTGAGTTTACCTCGGTGCATCGTGCGCAACTACTTAGCACAAAGGAGGGCATCTGCCATCTAGCGTCACTTCGCTCAAATATTCCTGCACTTGCTGCGCCCTCTGTTGTCAGTAAGACTGTTAGATTTCAATTTGTTTATATCCTAGGTACCCTGTAGGCTCATTTTAAACCTGGGACATTTTAACCAACTACACGGAATTCGAACCTGTGACCCTTCGAGCCGAGGCACTAAGCTACCTAGGCCCGATTCCGTTTGAATTAATACTGACGGCAATGAATAAATAAAATAGATAATAAAATCCTCGATAAATAATACAATAAGAAAACACGTTTGGCAACACTGGTATCAGGAAAGACAAAGAAAGTGATCGCGAGAGTGCCGCCTGAGGTCCCACGGAAGCAGAGTTCCGTCCATCGATGCCGCATCCTCCTTGAGATGAGAGAACCCCGAATCGCCATCCTCCGATTTAATTTCTCAGCCGCTACGCGCGTTCGCATTCCTCTAGCAGGAGTTAATCGCGAGGCACCCGAACGCTCTCCGTGGGTGGTCGCGGACCCTCCAATGAAGACATTCCTACA